TGGGAGCAGTCATTGCCCTTTTAAAAAAAAGGCCAGTCGCAGTATGATGAGGTCACACGCCCCATTTCCGAGCCCACAGAAGGGCGGGGGCTGTCTGCGTCGCGTGCTGATAACGTACGCGCCTTAGCGACGAGCGGTTGCTAAGGCTGCGATGGACGCTACCTCCCGGCCGCTCCGCGTGCCCCCGGAGATGGGCATGTATGCGGAAAAGCACGAGCTCTTCCAGCTCTTGCAGGTGAGAGCGGCAGGGGACGCCCGCGAGGCGCTTTGCTCCCTGGCGACACGGAGGGAATAACTGTGCTCGCCCCTCTTTGAGCAGGGGGACCCCTCCCCGTAGGCACTGGGGCGCCCACGTGCGCGGGGGATGGTCGCAGCAACTCTAGTTCCCGGCGTGCGTGGCAGCGCCCAAGCCAGAGGTGAAGGAAGGCGGCTTAGGGGCGGTAACAACCCTCGTTCCCCGCAGGGTAGCATGGCTCGAGGGGGCGCTGCAAGGACTGCTCCTAGCATGCATTGGGGTGCCCAAGCATGGGAGGGGGGTTGTCAGTGGAACTCCCAGCATTGGTCCGACTGCCCCCCACATGCTTTGGTCATGCTGTCCCGTGTGTGGGTTTTACCAGTTGCGCCCACACTGTACCAGTAGCCTCCCCAGGAATTGAAATTAGGGGGAGTGTTCGAATTTACAGGGGGGGGGGGTGTCAGGGCCGATGAGGGGTGAGACCGTGAGGGTGGGAGGGGGGTTGTCAGTGGAACTCCCAGCATTGGTCCGACTGCCCCCCACATGCTTTGGTCATGCTGTCCCGTGTGTGGGTTTTACCAGTTGCGCCCACACTGTACCAGTAGCCTCCCCAGGAATTGAAATTAGGGGGAGTGTTCGAATTTACAGGGGGGGGGGGTGTCAGGGCCGATGAGGGGTGAGACCGTGAGGGTGAAGGTGGGCTGTATGGCACTATAGTTTACAGGGAAATCCCTGCACTGTGCCCTGTTGGGACATGTTGACTGTTGCTAGCATGGACTGGGTAACCTTGTTCCAGCCTTGGGGTTACCCAGTGCATACTGTTCCTGACCTGAGGACCAACATGCTGCAGTGTATTGGAGAGGGAGGGGCTGTAATGAGTGTTCCCGGCATGTAGCAGAGTGCTCAGAGGAGATGTAAAAACAGTTCCAAGCACACAGTAGTGGGGTACTTTGAGGGTGGAGGAAAGTGTAATGACCATTCCCAGCAGGCAGCTGGGAGTTGTAGGCTGGATGGGTGTAGAACCATGAAAAGTGATGCTAGCACTTGCTTGGGATGTGCCTAGCACAGGGGTGCCCAAACTTTTTTCAGAGGGCCAGATTTGATGAAGTGAACAAGCGTGAGGGCCGACCATTTTGCCTGACATTCTTTGAACCATTAAAATTAAATGCAAATTAACTATTTTATGCAAAGTTTATTGCAAACGGCATACTTTTCATTTAATCACATGGATGACAAATCTAAACAGGTGTTAAATCACTCTGCCTTTCATATCTGAAGGCCAGATGAAAAAAAAATCCAGGAAGCTGAAATATATGTCAGGAACATTGTAAAGTACATTACATATTATTGGTAATAAAGGTTGTCTGTCAACTTTTAAGTTCAAAAAATATGAACAGGAACATAACACCAAGTATACATGTTGTGTCCAAATATATTTATAACTGATATAGACCAACTGACATTAACTGAGATTTTACAATGTATTCATCTCAATACATATGGATTCGTTGGGGGCCATAAAAGATAGATATTGCCAAATTACCTGTGGGGCCGTATTAAACCAGAACACGGGCCGCAATTGGCCCGCGGGCCAGACTTTGGACATGCCTGGCCTAGCAGAGAGAAGCAATGATTCCTAGATACATCAGGGCACTTCTTATTTGCTGCTGGGCACTTTTGGTGGAGGCAACACTTTAAATACAAGATATCTTATCACATCTTACAAGATGGAACAGTGTTTATGTCTGCAGCATATTGTCAATTTAAACAAAGAAATACTAATTTCTTTGTGTTCCTTGTGTATCTACGTGTATCACTATTTATTGAAGCAGTGTGATTCTGCCGTTACTAAGATTACTAGGACTGGGACTTTTGAGCTTGGAAAAGAAACAACTAAGGAGGGATATGATAGAGGTCTATAAAATCATTACTGATGTGGAGAAAGTAAATAAGGAAAAGTGATTTACTTGGGCCCATAACAAAAGAACCAGAGGATGTTGTGAAGGCCAAAACTATAACAGGGTTAAAAAAAAAAAAGCTAGATTAATTCATGGAGGCTATTAACCAGGATGGGCAGGAATAGGGTGCCTAACCTATGTGTCAGAAGCTGGGAATGAGCAACGGGATGAATCACTTGATGGTTACTTGTTCTGTTCATTCCTTCTGGGGTACCTGGCATTGGCTGCTGTTGGAACACAGGATACAGGACTAGATGGACCTTTGATCTAACCCAGTATGGTTGTTCTTATTTTGTTCTTCTTTATTTTTCAAGCGCTATCTGTGGACTTACTTCTCTGGAAAATTTAGCTGACACTTGTCCCCATCTCAAGAAAATTGGACAAGCTACATATTAGACAAACATAATGCACTGGCTATTAACAAGGTTTAATTGCAATATATATTTCTGAAACATGTTGGAAATCTGTTAAAGGTGTTGAGTTGGTCAAATGCAAAGCATGGCTTTAAGAATGCTACTTAGTGAATTGGGCTGGGAAGTAGTATGATGGAGTATTAATAAGGAAACCTGTATTTAAAACTTTTTATGTGAAGGCAACTGTTCTTTTGGAGATTAGGTTAATGACTTAATTCATAATCTAAAATATGGAGGTTTTGGAACTTGTCTATTTTGTGTTGTTTTAGCAAACATTTCTGGTTTTGTGCCTCTTTATGCAGATGTACAACTATTTGAAAAACAATAAAAACACAGTTACAAACAAGTCTTATTATTTTAGTAAAGAATGAGATTGACTTCCTGGCCAAAAAAGAGGTTGCACATTCCTACAGTTTGTTCCTTGGGTCTAATTTATTCCTATTGAAAAGTTTGTTAATGGATAGGAATTCTAATATTGTCCTGACAACGGTTACAGTTTGTTAGGAAAAATGGCCATAACACATACTGCTTTTAACATTTTTCACATCCCTTAGTTTGCGTGTTATGAGAAGAGGACACGATGCTCAAATCTCACCCTAAAATATATTGTTTCTCCTTTGCATATGCCCTTTTCCTCTTCTTCTGTTGTTATTTGTTAGCTCTGTAATTTAATCTTGTTATTCTGTGAGAATTTTGAGGTCCCTTTAGTATGAGCAATGCTGTATAAAATTTGTTTTTCAAAGCAAAACTTCATTCTGCATGCCACAGAGAAGTGAATAACACCAGCATGATTGCAATTGCAGAAAATCCTCAGATCGCAACTTTGTTAGCCAGCTGAGGACACAAACAACTGTAAATAATAACCCCAACTCATCAACAATTATGCAAATACCTACCCTTAAGCATGTGAGTAAAATTAAACTTGTGCATACATGATTGAAGGATGGGGGCCTAGAATCATAGAAGTACCAGTTAGCATCATGCTGCAGAATTATATTTCATTATAATTTCACAAGTTTGCTGGGTTTGTTATTTATAATGTTTACAGTATCACTGTCAGGTAAATTTAGATTCCAAATTCTGGTTTTGGGGTTTTAAATAATTTTTGAAAAACACAGTATATTTTCCATGTACTTACATTGCAATACCAATGAAAACAATATACTTTTCTGAGATTAAAATATTTTCCATTGGTGGTTGTTACCCAGACAGCATGAGGACTTTCAAGTAAAAGTGTTGGTTTATATTCAGATTGGATAAAATGCAAAAGGTAAACAAAAAGCATAAATAACGAAAAGTCAGGTGAATGTGTGGTAGATTCCTTTCACCTGATACACTCAGTTTATCTAAATGGAACAGAAAATGTGGAATTTATTTGGATAAATGGGGTTTTGGAGAGGAGGCTCATGTTTAATAAGAAGGTTTTGGATGTGAGGTTTTATTAGGGTAGAAATTAATTGCACAAGGAACTCTGGGAAATAAGGATTAAGTTGGAAAAAACTTCCAACTTTCTCCATCCCATAATGTCATCTCTATGCCATAATTTTGACACCTTTTCTTAAAATCCTGTGTGGCACCTCTTGCTGCCTGCTATCTCTGACAGAAGCATGGCGGCCGCACAGCTCTGTATTATTGTCTTGAACATTGTAAACTCAGGACAGACGATCCTCTGGTATTTGCTTAGCAGAAGAAAATACCACAACCGTGGGGGAGCTGATGATTTTTTTGAGGAACGATTCCTAAGTGGCACAGCAAAACTGATTCCAGGTTGATGGTGGTGTTCAGAGAGCAGCTGCAGGTGGTGGATCGCTGCTTCTGGGTCCAAGAAATGAGCACTGTCTGGAGAAATCACATCATAGTGCAGGTTAGGGCTGACAAGCAATGGCTGAAGAACTTTCAGATGCAAAATGCATCCAGGATCTATCTGAGCTCAAACTAGCGCTCCAAAGCGTGGACACCAGAATGAGAGCTGCATTGACAGTTGAGTAGCAAGTGGTGATTGCCCATGTGCTTACTTGCAACACTGGTTTTCTACCAGTTACTGGGAAATTCATTTTAGAGTTGGAAAATCCATGGCAAGAGCTGTTGTTTTGAAAATGTGGAGGGTCATTAATTGGCTAAGCAAGACTGTGATTCTTAGCAATCTGCAGGTGGGGTGATAGATAGTGTGCATATCCCTATTTTGGCTCCATCCCACCTTACAACACAGTCCATCAGCAGAAAGGGCTACTTTTCTGTGGTTATGCAAGCGTTGATGAGTCATTGGGGACACTTCTCTGATACCTGTGTGGACAGGTCAGGGAAGGTGCGTGATGCTTGTATCTTTAAGAACATACGCTGCTAAGAAAGCTGCAGGCAGAGATTTCTTGACTGTCAGATTGCCATTTGTGGTGATGAAATGTTACTGTGATCTGGAGGAATCTGGTTCATGAAGTCATTTTAAAAGTTCCAAGAAAAGATTCAACTGCTAGCTCAGCAGGTTCAGAATGACAATTCAGTGTGTTTTTGGTGGATTGAATGGACATGAGTGATGTTTACTCACAAATTTAGCTCTCAGTAAGAAATATCCCAATGTTAGAGTTGCCTGTTTGTCCTGAATAATATCTGTGAGGAATAGAGGGAAGGAAGAGGTGGACCATCTGTCTTCTGACTTCGAGCTACCAGATACAGAGCTATTCCAAGAACTTAATGGAGAGTAATGCAGCTGAAGGAGGTCTTGAAAAAGCACTTTGCCAGTCAGCTACATAAATATACTGTGCTTAGTCTGGCCCTGACATTTTGGGGGGCATTTCCAATTTTAGAGTACATTGATGAATATCACATTATAATAATTATAAATGTCCAATAAGCAATGCAATTCGCACTGGACCTGTGAATTTTGTGATCCTATTCAATTGCAATTTAATGTGTGCTTTCAGTAGCACTAGGTATTCTGCTGGATATGCTCTGAAGTAAGATTAAGTTATTTCCAATATATATTGTGTAACAAAATAGTACAAAAGGTAATGTACAGTTCAAAAGCGCTATACACTTATGAAATATATAAGAAGAACAGCGCTTTTAAATTAGAATGCTAGAAAACATTAATGTCTATTTCAGTCCATTTCTGCCAAACATATATCAGCCATGATTCTTACAGGCCAGAATATGTGAAGCTGTGTTTTTTGCTATTGTCCCCTGCTGTGGAGTGGTATTGTTAGAGATGTGGCACGTAATGCCAATGGGGGAATATAAGGCACTCTTGAAATAGAGGTCTCCATTGATTGTAAGGGGATTGTATTATATCCTGGGGCATAAGATCATAAGAACAACCATACTGGTATCAAAGATACATCTAGCCCTGTATCCTGTTTCTGACAGTGTCCAATGCTAAATACTTCAGAGGGAATGACCAGAACAGGTAACTAAGTGATCCATCCCATTTCTCATTCCCAGCTTCTGGCAAACAGAGTGGCTAATAGCCATTGATGGACCTAACCTCTATGAATTTATCTAACTCTTTTTTTTAACCCTATCATAGTATTGACCTTCACAATATCTTCAGGCAAGGAGACATCTCCTTCTCCTTTTTCTGCTGTAACTCCTAGGCTATGTTCACTGTAAAGCTGTGCTGCCAACTATTAAGTGCTGCGCAGGCTCTCGGGGAACCCAGCACTGGCAGACCTGCCATGGCTGGAGGAGAGGCACCCTGCTGCTAGCTCCAACCTAGCCTGGTCCCCAACCTGCTGTGGCCTGGGAACAGATGCCCCTAGCCCAGCCCCTGCCCTGCCACAGCTAGGGGAGCGGCACCCTTCCCTTGGCTCAAACCTAGCCTGGCCCCTCATCTACTACAACCAGGGGAATAGTGATAGAAATGTAGCCGTGTTAGTCTGGGGTAGTTGAAGCAAAATGCAGGACAATGTAGCACTTTAAAGACTAACAAGATGGTTTATTAGATGATGAGCTTTCGTGGGCCAGACCCACTTCCTCAGATCAAATAGTGGAAGAAAATAGTCACAACCATATATACCAAAGGATACAATTAAAAAAAAGAACAAATATGAAAAGGACAAATCACATTGCAGAACAGAAGGGAGATGCGGGGTGGGGGAGGGGGAGGAAGGAAGGTAAGTGTCTGTGAATTGATGATATTAGAGGTAGGGAGAGTGGGATGTTTGTGAGTTAATGGTATTAGAGGTGATAATTGGGGAAACTATCTTGGTAATGGGTGAGATAACAAACATTTGAACTAAGTCCTTGTTGGAAAGTGTCGAATTTTAACATGAATGACAGTTCAGAGGATTCCCTTTCAAGTGCAGATGTAAAAGGTCTTTGTAGCAGAATGCAGGTGGTTAAGTCATTGAGAGAGTGTCCTTTCTGGTTAAAATGGCAAGAAACTGTTTTCTCTTTGTGATCTTGTCTGATATCTGTTTTGTGGGCATTAATCCTTTGGCGAAGTGTCTGAGATGTTTGTCCAATGTACATAGCAGACGGACACTTTCGGCACATGATAGCGTAGATTATATTTCTGGATGCGCAGGAATATGTGTTCTTGATCTTATAACTCACTTGGTTAGGTCCAATAATGGTATCAGCAGAATGAATATGTGGACAAAGCTGGCAACGGGGTTTGTTGCAAGGGAAGGTACCAGGGTTGGTATTAGTGTGGTATGTCCTGTGGTGGTTGGTAAGAATCATCTTGAGGTTAGGTGGTTGTCTATAGGAGACTATGGGTCTGTCTCCCAGAGCCTCTTTGAGTATGGTATCCTGTTCCAATATAGGCTGTAGTTTATTGATAATGTGTTGGACAGGTTTAAGTTGGGGGTTGTAGGTGATGACAAGTGGTGTTCTATTGTTGGTTTTCTTGGGTCTGTCTTGAAGTAGATGGTTTCTAGGTATTCGTCTGGCTCTTTCAATTTGCTTTTTTGTTTCTCTGGGTGGGTAGTTGAGATTTATAAATGCTTGGTAGAGATCCTGAAGCTTCTGGTCTCTGTCAGTGGGGTTAGAGCAGATGCGGTTGTATCGAAGGGCTTGGCTATAGACGATGGATCGTGTGGTGTGTTCTGGATGGGAGCTGGATGCATGTAGGTAACTGTATGAGTCAGTGGGTTTTCTGTAGAGAGTGGTGTCTAATTTTCCATTGTTGATTTGTACGGTGGTGTCCAGGAAGTGGATCTCTCGTGTAGAATGGTCCAGGCTGAGGTTGATGGTGGGGTGTAGGTTGTTGAAATCTCTGTGGAATATCTCCAGTGTTTCTTGGCCATGTGTCCAGATCATAAAGATGTCATCGATGTACCGTAGGTAGAGGAGGGGTGAAAGGGGACGGGAGTTGAGGAAACGTTGTTCTAGGTCAGCCATAAAGATGTTAGCATACTGTGGGGCCATGCGTGTACCCATGGCTGTGCCGCTGATCTGGAGGTATAAGTTGTTCTCAAACCGGAAATAATTGTGGGTGAGAACAAAGTTACATAGGTCTGCTATCAGGTTGGCAGTAGTGTCCTCTGGGATAGTGTTTCTAATTGCTTGTACTTTAAAGTGCTACATTGTCCTGCATTTTGCTTCAACCAGGGGAAGGCACCCCTCCCTCATGTGGGGGACAGGTGTCCCTCACCTGGCCCCAACCTAGCCTGGCCTGCCCCTTCCTCAACCCCAACCTAGCCTGGCCACTGACCTGCTGTGGCTGGGGGGCAGGTGCCCCTCCCTCAGTTCCAACCTAGCTGGACTCCCAGCTGGGGAAGAGGCGCTTATCCTACAGCCCCAGCCTCGGAGCTGCTATAGTGGAGAGAGGTGCTTCTGCCCCCATAACCCAGGTGCTACTGTGAGGAGAGAGAGCTGGAGAAAGTCCTCTCTCCCTGTGGTAGTTCCAGGGCAGCCTGCACCCCAGCCTCACCCCAGAACTTGTATCCCTAGCTCTGGAGCCCTCACAACCCTACACCCCAACCCTTTGTCTCAGCCCTCCTACTTTCTGAACAATTCAGCCCCACCCCCAACACATAAATTTTATGTGCATCAATATGAATGTGTGATGTGTGACACCTCCACGTTGGTGCACAAAACAAAGTTCATTCCGCACATGGGAAAAATTAGAGGGAACACTGCTCCTAGGTCTTTCTCCAGTCTGCTCTATCCTTCTCCAGGCTGATTTCCATATTCACCCATCAAACCCTCTGATCGTGGCTCAACACAGCACTGGCATGCAGGACTTCACTGAACATGTCCTCCCAAGACTGCTTCTTTCTTCTTATCAGGGTCAGACATTATGTGAATGTGAATGGGGCACCCCCCTCATTGGCAGCAGCTACGTATTAAACAGACAGTTGTATAATTGTATTTACAGTCACAATGGAAAGCAAAAGATAAGTTTCAGATCATCTTTCTCCTATTCCCATAAAAGTTGTAAATCAGACATGCTTCAATCAAGACACCTCAGTTTTGATGCACTGCCATACAACACCACTGTCTAGCTGCAGCCACAGGGAGTGTGGCTTGCTGAGGTTGAGGAGAGGGTAAGGTAAAGAATGAGTCATTTGGTTAATCAACTCCCCCACAAAAAATCAGCCCCTCTTTCCACAGGTATGAGTACAGGGCGATGGCACTGTGTACTAGCGCTGTTTTGCATAGGTGGAGGTGATTTTAGCTGCTATCTAACTCCTGCGAGTAACAAAGACACAGAGAGCACAGCTGCTGTTGGTGTCCTAAGCTGCCCAGGCTGCTGAGTCTGTTTACCACCATGGTGTCTGCTGAAGTCACTGCAGAATGGTGTAGGAGGAAAGTGTCCTACCAAAGAGGGGGAAATAAGACAGCCTTTCCTCGTATCCTTTCGGAAAGGATCCTGGAATACTGCCCTGGAAATTTCATCGAGATCCTTCAGAACAGTAGAAGGGACATTCTTATATACATTAAAAAACTTCTTCTCATTCTGCCCCACCCTGCCTAACAATCAATAGAATTAAAAGTAGATAACTGTACCTTTATGTTTGTTGTACCTCTGTGTCTTTTCGTCCAAGTAAAACAGTGAAAAGCAGATACTTGGGCTGTGTCCTGCTAAATTTGGCTTTGGTTTATGTGATGGAGATTCCATAACATCCCTAGCCAATGTATTCCAGTGCTTAACCACCTTGGCCATTGGGAAGTTTTTCCTAATATCCAGCCTAAACCTCCCCTGCTGCATTTTAAGCCTATTGGTTCTTGTCCTGCCATCAGCAATTAAGGAGAACAATTTTTCTCTCACCTTCTTATAACAATCCTTTAGGTACTTGAAAGTTGTCGTCATGTCCCTGTGTCGTAGTGGGGGGTACCTTGCTGGTTGCTATGCTGGGCAGTGGGTTGTGAGTGACCTCCACTGGCTGCTGGCAGCAGCACGGCCCAGCAGGGCAAGGGGTGAGTCATTATGCAAGGGGGCTTCGAAACTCGTCAGACAGGTATCTCCCAGGAGTGGAACAATGGGAAGAAGGGGAGTGGAGCCCTGGCTGGGGGCAGGGCTGGAAGTGACTGAGTTAGTTTCTGTCTGCTATCATGGAGAAAGCAGCCTAGGGCAACAGGCTGGGATTTAGGGGCCCAGACTCCCCCATCTCAAGGGGGGCTGAGGCATCCTAGGCCTCCCGTGTAACCAGATTACATCTGTGCTGTGCTGTATCCTGGAGGAGCAATAAACACCGTATATTCTACTGGCTGGTGGAGTCTGTCCATGCCATTTCGGGGGTGCAGGAGATGGGAAAACCCCAGCATGCCATCACAGTCCCCTCTCAGTCTTCTCTTTTCCAGACTAAACACACCCAATTATTTCAACCTTCCAGGACCGGATGGAGGCATGGGCAAGCCAGGCAGTTGCCCAGGGCGCCAACTGATGGGGGGCGCCTGCGCGCGCCAGCAGCGACAGCCAGGCCAGATTGGGCTGTGCTTGAGCCGTGCGCCCTAAAGGTGGGCCCCGGGCTGCGCATGCGCCGTGCGCCCTGGGGTGGGCCTGCGCACCCTAAGGGGGTGGGCTTGTGCGCCGTAGGGGGGCAGACCCACTCCCCACAGGTGGGCCTGCGCATGCGCCGTGCGCCCTGGGGCGGTGCCACGTGCCCGTATCCGGGGCGCGAGAATACCTCGGGCCAGCCCTGCAACCTTCCCTCATTGGTCATGTTTTCTAGACCTTTAATCATTTTTGTTCCTCTTTTCTGGATCTTTTCCAATTTCTCCACATCTTTCCTGAAATGTGGCACCCAGAACTGATCATAGTACTCCAGTTGAGGCCTAATCAGCACAGAGTAGAGCAGAAGAATTACTTCTTGTGTCTTGCTTACAACACTCCTGTTAATATATCCAGGTACGTCTACACTTGCTCCCTAGTTCAAGCTAGGGATGCAAATGTAGCTGACTAATATTGCTAATGAAGTGGGGATTTAAATATCCCATGCATGATTAACATAATCTAGCCTGCACATTATTCCGCTCGCCAGCTGATTCAAACCAGGAAGTGCGCTCTGGGATGCATTAGTTCGAATCATACCCCTTGGTTCGAACTAACGTTACTTAAAAAATGAGTAACGTTAGTTTGAACCAAGGGGTTTGATTCGAACTAATGCGTCCCGGAGCACACTTCCTTGTTCGAATCAGCTGGCGAGCGGAATAATGTGCAGGCGAGATTATGTTAATGATGCGTGGGATATTTAATTCCCCACTTCATTAGCAATTTCGGTCAGCTACATTTGCATCCCTAGCTCGAACTAGGGAACAAATGTAGACATACTCTCCCAGAATGATCCCTAGCTTTTGCAACAATGTCACACTGTTGACTCATATTTAGATTGTGATCCACTATGACCCCTAGATCGCTTTGTGCAGTGCTCCTTCCTACGTGGTCATTTCCTATTTTTCTGAAGTACTTTGCACATATGTCCGTAATGAATTTCATCGTATGTGCCTTAGACAATTTCCCCACTTTGTCCAGATAAATAGCATCTCCCGAATCTTTCAGGCCTTTTTTATGCATCATAAATAATAATCAATTCATATTCCTTCTCAAATCATCTTTAATCTCTATGTATTTAGTCTTTCTCCGTCAAAAATGGGCTTCAAGGACTTATGAAGATGAATGAATATTTGTAAACCTTTTTGAAATCCCATCTTAAAGATTGCTATAGAAATGCAAAGTATTATTATTTATTTATTTGTTTGTTTGTTTATTTTATTTAATATTATTATGGCTGTATTAAATTTCCTCCTGAATCTGTCCTATTTATTTTCAGAACATGCTTGAAGGGTTGTTAATCCATAAGCCTGATGAGCCCATCCAGTTCATGATAAGCCACTTAAAGCAAGACAATGATTATGGTAAGTGAAAATGAGAGACCATATGTAGTTCACTTTGGGATTTATAAACTGTTGTTGCAAAGCTATAGTTCAGTCGGCGAATGTTGGATAAAAGTTTTCAGTCTGTGTCTCAATTTTTTAAGCGTTTTGGAAAAAGTTATTGTAAGATGTTTTTAATTTCTATTCTAGTGGATAATCTAATAAAAAATGCACTTTAACAGTTATAAAAATGAAGCCCTCTAAGGGAATAACAAAGAATTCTAGTGTATCAATTATTAATGCTTTCTGTGCCCCATCTGATATTTCCTGTTGTCTTTAAGCTCGCTAATTACCCCTTTTGTCAGGTGTAAAATTGGTTTCCCATTCTACCTAGGCTGGCAGCTTCTCTGTTTTTGTTTGTTTGTTTTGTTTTTGTTTTTTTGATTACTTAGTTACTTGCTACTGTTAATGAGGTCTATAGCTCAGTGGCATCTCAGATGAAGGAACAGCAAGCATGCCTACCTATGTGTATAACAAAATCTGATAAATTGAATAGGTAGTATGTATTCTGCACAATAAAAGCATGTACACTCAATCAAATTATTTGATTTACAAACTGTTCACCCTTAGGCAGATTATATTTGGAGATGCACAACTGAACTATAATTTCTGTTCTGCATGAGCTGTCAGGAGTAGCTGGTGTCATGTTGCTTTGATGTTTCTTTAAAACCATAGTAAACCATTATGAAAGTTCTGCTGCAGCGTCAATGAAATCATTATCACAAGAGATGCTAAGAGCTCTTTTTAGTTAGTGGTGATCAGATGGATGTCGATTGAAATACTGCTAAATAGCAAAAATCAAATCCTGCAAATTGTGTCCAGCCTGTTCTGTGTGCAACATGAGAAATCTGTTCTGTTTTACAGCCCCGTTGAAAGTACACAGTTGAGAAGTTTCATGAGCTAAACTGAGCTAAGATATGTTCTTTAACCCCACAATATTATTTGAACAGAATCAAGCAGGTTGCCATTCATGACTTCTGTAAAACAAGAGGTTAAAGATAGAACCATAGCAATTGTTTGTCAAAGGAAAAACTGCTATCTGTGGTTTGAAAGAATCTATTAAGACATGGAAGGAACTCCAATTAAAATTAAAGCCTAAATCTTGTTTTAAAAGTAAATTGTATGGAAAACAATGTAAGATAAATCTGTAGTAGAGTTGATATTTATTTTTTGATCATAGCAGAAAGTGCTGACTGTTTAGAAGGAAAAAAAATCCCTTATTAGAGCCATCACTAAAGTGATGAATTTTCATGATCTTGTCTTGCTAGACAGTTTTAGCCCCAGAGAAATTTTCAAACAGAGATGTGGAAAAAAAGTACTGCAGCTACCCCATGTACAAAGTCAAAAGATCTTTTTTATTAATGATGAGATTTAAAGCACTCTTTAAAAAACAACAAACAATCCAAATGAGTATAATTTACTACAATCCTGATGAAGCTCTTAGTTCAAGTATTGGGTGACTGGGTTCTCATACTCAAGACTATTTTATTGTTCTGTCATGTGAGCTAAAAAGCTAGATTTAAGAACGATCTGATGACTAAGCTATTTTTAATGCAAAAATGTCTGTTTAGAACATTTTATCCTGGTATGGTAATAAAAGGTTCCCAGAATCCAAGTAAATTATTTTTTTTGGTGAGTACTTCCTTTATAACCATTCCCTTCATAACATATTACAAAATTCTGGAAATTTTTTAGTCCTGAGCTGTATACTTCTCCAGTTCAACATAGGAGTTGCCTTACAAGTTAAGTGATTTTTTCCCCCATTAATATTAATCGTACAATCATTTGGCTTTGAAGGGACCCCTACTGAGTCCAGCCCATCTTTTTGCATTGTGCAAGGTTTAATTTAATTCCCCCTAAAACTGTACCTGAATGCTAAACGTTAAGACTGCTTGAGAAAGTGAACCATGTTACGTTTCAAGACTCAGCACTGAGATGTGGTTTATTACTAAAGAAAAAGGTGTTGTGCAGATTTCTCTGCATTCATTTAGTTGCCTGAGTAGACCTCAAGCATTTAATACTAGCTGTGTGCAGATTTGAGGGGTTAAACATTACATAGAGTGATGCCCTAGTTGTGCCCTTGTGTCATATGTTTAGGGAAAAATGCCTTAGAAGATTCTTACAAGTGTGCAAATGAGTAAATCAGTGCATTACACTGCCTCATCTGCTGCCAGCTACTAAGCAGAGAGAAAAGCAGATTTAGTACAAAGTGAGCATTTACAGTAGCCCTGGGCAATATTAAAGCATGATATGGTGTATATAATGGTACGTTTCGTTTTTCATCAAACGTTTGTCCAAGAAAGTTGTGTATTAAAGCTTCAATACCTAAGGGTTTTCTTGTGAATTTTAAATTATGCTCCTAGTTAAACCTCAAAAGGATCTGTGGATGGAAAGGTTTTTTGATTTTCTTTGAAGTGGTTTGAAGAAGTTGATTAGTGTTGGCACCCGAGCACTCTTTTATGACGCTGTTTATAAATAATTCCTCAGTACCGGGCTGCAGTTTCAAGGTGTTAGGTTTTAAGAAACTAGGATTTAATCACATTACATTTGAAAGAAATTAGGTGATAAAAACAGCTGATGTATCCTTTTAAAGTATTTTTCTACATTGTGTACTAGGTCTGTTGCATTTGCAAGAACCAATACGGGGAGAGTTTTCTTTAAACCTTCCAAGTCAAATAACTTTGTAAAGATGAAGCTGTAATTTGAGTTCCATGAATGTTTAAAAATTGCACCTGCCCAACTGCTCCTAAGTGTTTGGAAGGTCCTCATAAAAATACAACTCCCATCCTTTCCTGTCTGCTGAGATCAGAGAGTATATTCCTTTTGGCTATCAAGACCTGGAGAGGTTTTTGGCTCGATAGATCCCCTAACTCATCTTCTTTGACCTGTACTACTGCCAATAAATACCTATCTGTCACTTTTTACAAGTCCGATTCCTTTTCTCCCCACAATAGAAAATGGAAGAAAATCCCAGTATGTTAATGTAGCATGATAACTCAAGGGATCACAGCAAAAAATGTATGCATGCAAAAAGATGCATCAAAACTTTCTCAAGAAATATTTCCCATTTTCCCTTGGTTTTTTACACAGCTGATCTTTTCCTACATCACTGTAGGAATGTGTTGTCTATATAATTGTAAATTTATTGGGAAAGGGACCTTATTCTTTTTTTATTATTATTCTTAGATCACCTTGCACAGCTATCGCACTATATAGAGAATAATAAAACCCAAACTAATAAATACTAGTAGAGTTGAGACAGAAACTTGTGTGCTAAGGGAAAAGAGGTTGCTGCCATGGCAGGTAACTCTTTTTCTTCCCTTTCCTTTTGCATCCCCTCCTCATGGAATGGAAACTGACATGCAACTGATAAACACAAAGGGAGGAAAAAATGGATCTTAATGCTGACTAGAGAAATGAAGGGCAGTGGATAAAAGGACAGAGGAGAAATGTGGAGTAGCCCATTTTCTACTGCGACTGTGAAAAGTTTTACAGTGTGCCCCACAGGCAATCTGAGAAATGTTCCAGATACATTTTCTTTCCATTTCTACCCAGGAGGTAGCTATCCTCAATAGGAAAGAAAAGTGCCTATTTTGCAATTTATAAGCCTTCCCGATCCATGACATAGCCTGTGTAGAGAAAGGAGTGAGTTGAAATTGTATTATTTGTGTTTCATTTTTTAAAAGCTAAAAGGAAATCCATTATTAGTACAAAGAAGTAAAATAAGAAACTATACACTTCAACATTTGCCATCATACTGCATGTACAAAATTAAAATCCTTAATTGTAAGATGCATTGGATCTAAACCATTTAACATGTTGGGAATAAAAAGCAAAGTTAGAAAAATAAGTATTCAATATTTATGCCCTGTTTCCGTGAGGAGTTATAAATAAGTTACCTGTGCTTAAAGCTAGGCATGTGTTAAGTGCCTGACCAAATAAGAGTCTTAAATGTACTAACTATGCCCTGGTCTACACTAAGGAGTTATTTCAAAGTAACCCCCCTTATTTCAAAATAATAAGTGGAGTGTCTACATTACGAAGCCCCTTATTTTGAAATAATGGGCTGGTTATATTGAAATCTGTACTCCTATTTCCCTTGGGGAATAACACAAATTTTGAAATACTTATTTTAAAATAGCAGTAGTGTGGATGATCTGGTGCTGCCATTTTGAAATAACTACTCCCCAGAGTAATTTGAAGTAATTACTTCCCAGTGCTTCCTGGAGCTCTAAATTGAGGTAGCACATCCACAATAAGACAGTCTTCCTCAGATTAATTTCGAGGTCTCCCCGTGGACATGATGTGGACGTGATATTTCGATTTTGTTATTTTGGGAGTTATTACATCGATTTTAGTTCTTTCAAAATGGTTTCCTAGTGTAGACATTCTCTATGTAAATTAAATTAGGACATAGTCATGACTAGCTTGGTGCCCAATCCTGCAATCCTTACTCAAGCAGAAATCCTGGTGAAGTAACTGTATTACATTATAATTACACATGTCTGTTATATAGTATGGAGAAACAATAAAGGTGTCTTGCCTTTCTGTATCTTGACATTCATGTACATTTATTCTATAGTTCCAAGAATTTGTATACTTGGTCCACCTGCCTCTGGAAAAACCACTATTGTAAGTATATTACCTTTAAGTATTATAACACTGCACTGCCATATGTTTGCAAATAAGAACTTGTCCTTCAGTTCTGCTAGAATAACTATGTATTAGACATCAAAAGTATTATGACAATCAAATAAAAATCACTATTATTCCTGTTTTCTAGGCTTTTGTGCACCATAATTTTGGCCTGTGCCTAGATACCATTGTGATAGGCAAACAAGCAAGCAGACTGGCCAGAGTGGATTAGACAGAAACACTAGCACCTCAGAACAGGAAAAAAATGTGAGAAATGAGGGGTGTCTACATCAAACTACTGGCAGGCCTGTAACATTTATTAGATTTGAAACATTTTGGTTCAGATTTTCAGAAGTCTTTTCTAAGTTTTAGGTTGACAACTTGAGATATTTTGGGTTTGATTTTCAGAGTTGCTGCTCACATACAGCTCCCAACTAAGTTGGAGTTCTGGGTGCTCAGCACTTCTGAAAATCAGGGGTAAGATTTTCATAGTGCCTAGTAGGGATGTGAAATCTTGGTTAATCAATTAACTCAGGCCTGGGCTGGATTCAGCTTGCCAAACTACCGGATCTGGCCCACGAACGCAGTGAGAAGCCTCAGGCAGACTCCCTGCTTGCCTCACCCCACACACCACTGAGATTAGAAACCTACTGGATTACTTTCTAACCCATGAAAGATGTTATGCAGGCATATGGTTGTGTCCTTAATTTGGATGGAGAGTTAGGGGCATGAAAACAGAGGTAATGTGGTGGCTGTGTTTCTTAACAATGCATATTCATATTTGTCTTCATTTTTAATTTTTACTGACTTGTTTTGCTTTCTGTGGGCCTTCTCAAAACTTGTTGAATTTTCTTTGCACCCATGATTTTCCCCCTCTTCTTTCCCTAGGCAATGTGGCTTTGTAAACAATTTAATACTCCTCGTATCGCTCAGGATACTTTATTGGAAGAAACATTAGAGCTGACAAAAGAAGTAAAGGCATTTCAAGAGAAAGGAGAGGTACGTACCAGCTCTGTACACTACAGAAGACAAATTATAGGAGACTATCATGATTCAACTGGTGGACAATTTGATCAGATTAAAGTATATAGTTCTAGGTCAATGGTAGTTTGAACATGGGTGTATGAATTTGTATGTGCAGCAGGGGCGAGACAGGGATTGGCAGTGACTGAAAACCTTAACATTAGATTCTTATTAGATACTAGAAATACATTTCTGGGTATGCACATCACACTTTAAAGAGTTATACAGTTTCGCAAGAGAAAGCCTGTCCTGTTTTAGCATGTTTGATGATCTCCATTAAGTAAGAACTATTCTCTGGGGTCCGTTTCAGTACAAAATACTTCCAGAAGATGTGTTCATGAAGAACTCTTCTTTGATGTGACAGAGATACTTAGCTGCATAGAGTTGATTTTTCTGTAGCACAACACAAATAATGTACTCAGTGCACTAATTCTGAGTAGTCATTTGGTAAGTGTAAACCCAAGAGGCACTCCGGCTAAGGAGGCAGCAGCAGGGTCAAAAGGACTTTTAGGGTATGTGTATCTTCAGTGAAAGTCTGGGGTTCAAAATCAGGCTCAAGCCTAACACTCCGTCCATATACACACAAATGCTAGCCCAGGACTGAGACCCAGGGTCATAGGATTCCTGGGGTGTTGGACCCTCTGAGCCGAGACCCTATTGTTTTGTGTGATGATGCAGCTACGCTGGACTCACATTCTCAGAGGTCACCAAAAGTATTCCACAATCCCATGGGCCAACTTTGTATTCTACAATCAAGTTTGGTGGACAGCCAAACCTTCCCACATTGCTCCTGAACAAAGGGACCAGGGCAGCCACATTTTGGGAAGGTGTTAAGAAATCTGAGATCTGGGCAGTGGGACTCAGGTACACATAATACAATGTAGATGCTGGTCACAGTTTGGGATACAGGGTCCAATAGTTCCTAAAGTGAGGTTACAGTTGAATGTAGATGCTGAAACCCTTGGTTAACAAACCCAAGGGCTGGTAGGTTAACTTAACTCAAGTTCTAGTAGCCCAGGGCTTACTTACCAGTTTTTAGGCTGGCCAAACTTAAATTTGTCAGCCAACTTTCAGAAGAGCATTTGTTTCACTACTCAGTCTGAATTCATTAATCCTTCTACCCCTGACCAATGGCCCAGTGTGCTGGAGCCATTCTTTTCTGCTCCCTAAGTTGTTCCATGACCATTTTTGCCCCTGGACTTAAGGTACAGAATTGATGTGAGAGCTACTTGCCTTATAGGTCAGTGAAGTAAAGTTCTGCAGAGTTGATAGCTAATGGAAATGGAAGAGAATGAAATAGGGAAAGGATGTCTTGAATAAATCGAGTCAGCATCTCCTTTACCCTCCCCATCATAAAAAAAATTAACCCTTGTTTACTACACTGAATCAAAGCATAAGGTTTGGCAATGCCTCAAGGTTCACTCCTGATCTGAATATATGGGAGGAAAAAAATCCCTGAGACTACCTGCAAAATGTCTGCTTTTAACTGGGGTGGACTAGGATGGTGTAAAATTGACTTTTATTGAAAAAATGCACTTTAATGATTTGAGTGCAAGGTTATTTTACAGATTATTTTACTAAATTCATGAAACTCAATTTAAAAAGGGGAAAATTTAAAACAAAAATTCCCTTTGGTTTAATTACTCTAATTATTAACATATTTCACACTGTACAGAAGCACTTTCAAGGATGTCCTTTTGGGCTTTCTTGATTTAAAAACACTGATGGTGTGGAAGATGAAAGCCAAAGATGTTAGGGCTAATCAGGTGGTAAAGAGCATCTGAGAGCTGAAATTGGTGGTGTTTTAGTTTTGTGCTGTTTACCCCCTTGGTTTGTAGGATGTTAGTTTACTAGAGGGATGACTTTTGTAAATCATTTCCCCAATTTCCTTGAATGATTTTGACTCTTCATATATAACTGTTGTGACTGAGGATGAAATTCTGGCTCTGTGGAAATCAGTGGGAGCTTTGCTAGTAATTTAATTAAGGGTAATATCCTGGCCACAATCTTTTCTTTTCTTTTTTTTTTTTCTCCTCCTTGCTCATTTCTCCTGTCCATGGGCTAAACCCACTTTTGGCATAAATGGTCACAGTTTCAATGATGAATTTGATCTCATATGCACATTTTAACACACATTAGTACTAAAAAGAAGTTGGCTAGGATACAGAACTATATTGTCTAAATTTACAACGGGGCACTAAAAAACTGCAGACTTCTCCAAAACAGTTTAATAAATGAAATGAGTTTGTGTTTTGTAAAATCCACCTTGAAGATTACCCATTGCAGTTTGATTTATTTAGATTATCATTTCACTTCATATGTATGAGGTAACCAGGGCTAAATTAACCCAAAGACCAAAAAGCTTGGGCATCCATTAACTTAATATACCTATAGGTTGTTACTAAAGGTGAGCATATACTATAGAAAATAATTTTAAAAATATTTGTTCACACTTTTTAATTAGTTCACTTTGGCCTCATTTGCTTCTTGTGAAAATTTGAGCATTTGAGTTTTATTGGCCCAGGAGTTCATGGAATTGGGATTTTAAATCTATGATTGTTCTCAGAAACTGAATTTTAAATTTGCACATCCAAACATTTGCTAACCCATGTTCTGGCACTAACAAATGAGCTCAAATAGTGACAACCAACCGTCATCAATCCACATTTACAAATATTCAAAGAAGTCAAATATTTTTGAATATTGGATAAATTTGAGGAAATGATTTATTAAAATTATTCTATGAACACAAGACTCAATTTTTAGATAATTCATTGCCAATTTCCTCATCTCTAGTTATGAAAATATTAATACAGTAGAACCACTTTCAACTTATTCCTGTAGTGAACTTTAAAGATATAAGTATTTAAAGATTTACTTTTTCTGTCAACTGGCTAAAACACAAACAACTATCCGTGTGAAGAACTTGTGAAGAAGGCCCTTTATTCTGAGGACTGTAGCAAATTGCAGTGCAGATATTTGCACACTATGTAATAACTTAAAACTGCACTACTGTTGTGAGACAGCACCTGCACAGTCTCCTTGTGTATTTAAAGAAGAAATAGAAAAGAACAAAAAAACAGAGACATCTGTATCTTTGCATGCCCAGTGATCTCGTGTGTTCTAGGACGAGGCACTACAAAAGAACAAATAGAAAATGTTATAATATTTGTATGCATGTAAAAAGTTCCGTATGTGTCTATATAAGTAAGAGAGAGAATGAACTGAATTAAAATATTTAGAACTTCTAAAATATTTAGACACGTTTTCTTCACACACAGATATTTTTCTTTCCTCATATACTACAGAAAACAAGCCCTGTTTGAAGTTTTTAGATGCAGACATTTTTGCGATAAGAAAGTGAAGAAACTCCACTTGGAGCATATGAGGAATGACCTCGTCCTCACATTATAATAAAAAAGCATTTGTAAGGGTTTTATTCATACTTTTGGGGGAAGGTTGCGCACAGCTAGTATGCATTATGATGTCATAGGACTAACATGTAAAATGTGAAACTCATCATGAATGAGTGCAATGCATCATCAATAAGGTGGAATCATGAATAAAATTGATCCAGTAAATATATACATAAAATAATTTGTCATTCATAGAATCATAGAGCTGGAAGAGACCTCAGGAGGTCATCAAGTCCAGCCCTCTGCCCCAGGCCGTTAAAGGCAATCACCACACCATAGTTTTAGGAAAGTTTTACCATTCCAAACAGTGACACCAATGGACTTTGGATCAGGCGCCAAGTGCAGGAGCAGGTAAAAATACAGTTTCTTAGTTACCAGCCATGCCTATGCCACAGTGTCTGAGATCACAGACCAGCAGGAGGCTATATAACAGCATAACAGATTTTGAGCTTTTTTTTGGTAATAACAGCAGCATGTTAGCTTCTACTGTAATTTTGCTATGGTAAGTCATGTAATTCCTATAATTGGCTGTATTCTGTTGGATGTTTTCTATCAGATTTGACCATTTTCATTATAATGATCTGGTCTAAAGCAGACAATGTCCTATTAAAATATTAAGCAGGGTGGTGATTTTTTTAGCTGCTTGCTCAGTGAAGTTGTCACTGACCAGGAAGTTACATTGGAAGTGAGCCACAGTCTTCAGAAAGTTCTGGTTTAACTGCGGATAAAGCGCAGCACCCATTCATATGCACTTGATTATTTTTCTGCAGCAAATTCTGGTCAAAAGAGAGGACTAAAATTACCACTGCACTGAAAGAAGCTAGAATAATTTTGGTTTAAATTGGTTTGGCAGGGCTTAGCAGAGTGGACCCCCTGGCAGTTGCTAGCCTCTCTTGACGTGACACATCAAAGAAGTCAGTAAGACACTAGCTGTTTCTGATAGCAGCATGATGCACCTTTGGAAGGTGACAGACTCAAAGACACAGACTCAGGCTCAAACAGTGAAAGGCTGCAGGAGGCTTTGACGTACCACCCTGTGGGACCTGCTGACTTTCAAGAAACAGAGCAATTTCTTTCACTTTTTTCTCTTTTACCTGCTTGAATGCTGCTTTATGAATGGCTGATATTAGGAAAATTATTGAGAAATTGAGACATTAACAATAACAAAGACCTAATTGTTGACTATTCCCCAGTTGGGGCAGGATTGTCCTCTATGGTATATTCTTAAGTGCTTTGTCCACCTAATTTTAAATGACTTGCATGATGGAGCTTTTACCGTTTCCTTTTGGAAATTTTCCATGCTCTAATGGAGATCATAGTTAGGAAATTTTCTGTTCTTCGCTTTCATACAGTTGTACCCATTAGATCATCCTAACCCAGAAGGACAGTCCCTCCCCCCAAAACCCTTAATGTTTACATTCATCCGATTGTGTGGTGAAAGCAAGGAATGGAGAACCCAGTCCACAGGTGACATATAATGTTTGTTTGGAACAACTGACGTCAATTGCACATAATCAAGGAGTTTCCTGATTTAGGTAGAAAATAAATTTGAGTAAAAAA